TGGGCCACTTCAAAACTCAGTCCCCTGGCAACTATTTTTATTTATAATTTATTTATAAAATTCGATTCATAAGTCTTAATATTATTCTAATTAATGTAATTATTCATTGAGAACTTGACAAGTTGAATGCATTGAAATAGTTTGCTTGATTTTTCTCAATTGGATATAAAAAACAGTCCCCTGTCATGTTATATGGCAAAAGACACACAAATATCGAAAAAGCAAAAATTAAATCGGCTGTTTATTTATTATGATTAAGGTGATAGTTTTGTAGCACTTGTTTATTTTTTTTTTTTTCTAATAAAATCTAAAATAATTTGGTCGGACAATTTTGTACAGATTTAAGACGTCCTTACAGAGAATCACCCATATAAATATATAAAAAATATGTATAGTAAATATATTTTTAATAATGAACTTTTGGCCGATTTTCATATAAATTTTATGTATTTTAGATATATTCAAGATATATTTTAAAATACATAAAAAATACATAGCTACAAATGTGAAAAAAATATATTTTGAATACATCTAAAATGTATTTGAAATATATAAAATATATATATGAAAATTGACCAAAAGTTAGATATTAAAAATATACATATTTTTTACATATTTATATATTTTTTATAGATTTTTACTATATTTTTTATATATTTCGACATATATTGTCTTTACATTTTTATTTCATGGGGGGATAGATCGGTAAAATTTTTTTTTTTACATAAGATATAAATAAGTTTTCTATTTTATGTAAAAAAAATTGTTATTTTATTTTATTTATACACTGAAAAAAAAAAATGATCAATGCAATAAGAAAGTAATTTGTTTAAAATTTTAAATAATTTTATTTTTTAGCTTAAAAATTTTTTAATTTTTATCAAAAACTTTCTTGTTAAAAAAAAGTCTTCTAGAATTGAGAAGAAAAAATTTTACATGAAAATTCATGTTGTCTATCTAAAATTATTTTTTTTCACATCAAAAAAACTTTTTTTCAACAAGAAAGTTACTGCGAGAAAAATTTTTATTTCTCAGCTAAAAAATAAAATTATTAAAAAATTAATTTTTTTTTACAACATTGTTCATTTTTTTTTCAAAATTGTATTATTTTATTATTTATTCATTAATTTTATTTATTAATCATATGACCATTTGGTTAATGAAAAATACCTAGTAAATAATGTAATTAGTAATTATCAAGCCGATAAAATAATAACGTTCAATTCGACGTTCGAATGATTGATTAATTTCATGTAATTGCATATAAAATATCCATATTATCCGAAAAAGCTAAAATTATTAATTATTAAATGTTC